CACATTCTTGGACTCCAAGTTAGTGTTGTTAACTTTAGCTTTGAATTTTTGGAAGAAATTCGTTTTCAAGAAGTGAGTGTAGAAATGATGTCAGCCTAATTTTATATAAAAATAATTTCTGTTAATAGAAGAAACTTCGGAATAGATGCTCTCTCTTAAAGGGCATTTGAGGCGCTACACGCTGATACAAAATGTGATAAAAGACATATGCATCCACAGTAGAAAAATTCACTAATCGCATGATTTTGAGGGACTCAGTACTTATATTACCAACTAGTGATAGCAACATGTCACAGACGACAATGATCTGTGAACACTGATTAAATATATAAGTAATATGACAATTGGTGGCTTACAGATTTACCACTGCAATCACCGTGATTACGATCACGAAGATTGTGGTATTGAGAAGAAAGAGGAAGTTTACTATAAAATTTTTAAAAGACTTGAGCCTATCGCACCCATTCTCACCAAATTTTTGATCTTTCTTTTTAGTTGCTGACAAATATTTTTTGTAAGTCATTATTTTCTACTTCATTGCAATTTTTGTATTGTCGACATCTTTCCTAATTTCCTTGTAAATGGCTGGTACAATTTTTACTATATTCTCACCAAATTTTTGATTTTTCTCTTTAGTTGCTGACACCTGTTCTTTGTAAGCTATTGTTTTTCTTTTCAATTCAATTTTTGTATTGTCGACATTTTTCCTTTTTTGTTTTGTAAATGGCTGGTATATCTTTTGCTCTATTATCAGTTTATTGGCATTTTAATAATTCATTTTAGTTGCTGATTTCCACATATCCAGTGGTATAATCTCAATTTATCAACTGATAAAGTACTGATGTCATTACTGTTTATTACTTTCCATGTCTTGTCGTATTCTCCCACATTTTTAAAAAAAACATTTTTAAAATAATTGGAAAGTTGCATTAATGGTCTTAATTTAAAATAATGAGAAGTTTTTTATATTTTATATTATATATTATTTTAAAATTTTTGTCAATTTATTATACATTTCAGTTTATTTTATTAAAAATTGCTCTTATTTTAAATAGTTCAATATAAAATATAAAAATATAGATTTCATTTCTTTTATGCTTAACATTAAACTTTCATTTAAAAATATCTTCAAAAATAAGCAAGCATTTCAACCTAAAAACTTAAAACGAACCTCAAAGAAAAAACCATAAAACAACTCGATTGATTACAAAATATCTTGAATGTACAGCGAAACTGCGCACAAAATATAAACTTTCTCCAAATGCAGTACAGATACTTTACGACTTTGGTTTATGTTTACGCCATATCAAACATACATACCAACAGCAACTGAAATAAAAACATGCCAATGTTAGTACACAGCTGTAGATACATGGAAAGCACCATAAAACAGCTTTAATTTGTATTTGTAAGAAGTATCTGTAGTGAATTTGTTCACACATATTTATATTTGATGCAGTTAAGATGTGAGTTTAAGAAAAAATTGAAAACAAAAATTCCAAATAATATATCTTTTAATAATACGATATGATGTGAGCGCAAGTCAATACATATAAAACAATAATATACATATAAAATATCTTGAAATAAAAATATAAACAAATATTGTATCTGAGCAAACTATTTGAATTCAACATAAAAGGGTACAAAATTGTGGCAGCTAAATTAGTTTGAAAAAAATTTATGTACTCGTATATTTCATGGTTGCTTAGCTTACAAAGTATCTGCAGCAACTGAAATGGCAAATGCATTGATGGTTAAATTACGTGTCTGACATTTGCATTTACGAGCATTTAAAACCAGCGAAAGTAAAACGTAACGAAACCACGCCAAAAATCGTCCATTGATCTTGCCTTGAAGGGAAATGCAAGATACACGATTTGAGTTTGAAATGCGAAATGTGTTTTACTCTACACTCGGCATTTAAATGCGCGGGTGAAAATGTTGAGATTTGAATTGGCGAGTGAGTTTTATTTAATTGAAGCTGTTCATGGAAAAAGGTCAAAATATTTAAAAACAAAACAAGATTCACTCTTCTTTCGAAAACGGGTTTCACTTTGGGTAAACACAATTGAGATACAATTTAGAAAGTGTAAAAGTAGGAACGGAAAATTTTGGCTTGTGCACCGAAGATATAAGAGAACAAAAAAATATTTATTAAATTTGTAAAAGTAATTTTTACGATTGTTGCTGCTTTTATTGAGTACTTAGTGAATACCCCATAAATATGTTTTATGAAAAAAGAAAACGAAGTAAGTTTTAAAATATTTGGTTATATTTGAATGCACAAAATTTTTAATCACTCCCCTTCAATTTTTAATGTACATTGTTAAAGTCGTTGTTACTTCCTTCAGTTTCAATCAAATTTGTTATATAGATGAGCGTTTTATCTACATGATATCAAACTTTCTCTTTAGAATCTTTTATGAGACAAATACTCATTTAATACAAATACTCTTTTCGCTTACAAAAGTAGATAGAAAATTCATTGTACTTAAATTCCTTTAGACTCTTCCACATCCAGTTTGCTAATAAATATAACCAAATAATTCGACCGTCACTTCAATATCGATGTGCCAGCTAGAAATCGCACAAAGCCAGGCTCTGAGAAGACTTTTCAAGGTACCATGGTACATCACAAATGATATCTTCAGAGACCGCAAGATTGATCCAATCAAACATACATAAAGGATAGAGCTCTGAAATTATTTACGAAAGCTGACAGGCTTACCGATACCGTGTTATCGAATCTCAGAATGGTTACAAGCTCCTTTGGTAGGTATGCAGATCTGAGGTCAGTTATGCTTAGTCTGATGAAATGATAAACAATAATCTAGTCAAGGTGTAGGAGGGGTTATGAAGAAACCTCGTTGTTAATAGAGAATAAAAGTGCTCAAGTGCACTCAACTAGCCTCAATATAAGAATATTTATATAAAATTTATATAATAAATATCTTGAAGTTCTGCTTACTCTTAAACACTATTTTATTCTATTCGTTAATAATTCCATTCAGAATGCCACATTCCGGCATAATCTTAAAAATGCTTTTTGCATTGGACACAATTAGTTTGTGAAGCTAAAATTTTTTAAGCAAGCTGCAAGAAGTTAGGATTAGAAGAAAGAGTAGAAATGTAGCAGTAAAAGTGATGGTATTAGTAGAACTATAAGTAATATAAGTGTAGGAATGTGAAAAAGGTAAAAGGGCAAGTTGAATTAATATAAATCTATTGATAAGTTCTTGTGGATGTGAATCGTGATGAATGTATTAGGGTTACAATGTTTTTATAGGTTAAGTAGCTTTCATGAGTGATATTCATAATGTATTTGGTATATTTGATATTTATTTTCAACAGCAGAAGTAACTTATATTATTGGTTTAATTGTTTAAACTTATACATTTGTAAAGTATAATATTATTATATTGGTTGCCTAACAAAAACCAAGTTTTAACAAAAACCAAGTTTTAACAAAAACCAAGTTTTAACTAAAGGTATAACGTCAAAGATAAATAATGGGAATGAGTACACATTCTCTTATAAATTTGAAATCATGATAGGATATATTTTAATTATAAAATTAAATATAATTAATATAATTCACTGTGAGACAGTGACAATCTATTTTATTGTCAATATTACTCAAACTTATGCAATATAATTGAACATAAAATAAATGTGGTAAGTGTAATTTATTATTTATAAAATTTATTTATTTAATTGCTCGTAATAAACATTAAAAAATAAATATATAGTAACTTCATCAAACTGACCATATAACAAAGCATCAATAAATTAAATAATTTATTGCTAGACTAAATGATTATCTTTCTCAAGAGCCGTTACTAATTTTTGGATAAATGTAAAATCGTCACAGCTTCGAGGTATTTATAAATTAATAATGCCTTACATATAAATTATATAAGTTATAGACAAATAAACTCAAAGTATGTATAAAAGTAAGAATAATCAATTAATACCAAGAACATTGCGAAAACACTCTCAAAATTTAATAAAAAATCTAGCTAACCTTTGCCTAAATAATTTTTATAGTTCTGTACTAAAGTTTTTATATTACTTATATATGCATAAATATTGATAAATATTATAAACATTCTAATTGAAATGGACAGAAAAACATTTTAATGTTATATGCAATCATAATTTTATAAATATATATATATAAATATATTCATTAGGCTTAAAATAACTTACTTAATATGATAAATACATATAATATTTTTTCAAACCATGTTGGCATTGGAGTTTCCTCATTATCCAGAATTATTTTGTCCACGAAAGTCTTTGTTGTGGAATGTTGCTCTTCTTCGTACACCTCCTTAAAAAATACTTACAAATATTTTTAAGATAATAAATTAAATGGATTGTATTACTTGAGTTTGTGATTCCACGCTGTCTCTTTCATTTTCTTCACATACCAATTTCGGAGAACTCCAATTAAAGTATTTCTCAGTAAAGTTTGATAATTTGTTCGGATAAAAATCTAAGCTTAAAGTACAGATAAAGTAAATCGCAGCAAAGATAAAAGCTGCGAATAAAACATGTAGAAAGTATTTAACAAACACTTTGAACCAATATGTTTCAATCATCTTAACTGGAGTTTGTACTTTAAGTTCACCTTTTTCCTGCTCTCCGGATGTAACGCATTGTACTATATTTTGATTACCACAGAGGCCTTCATTCTGTACATAGTCATTACCTTTCTCTGCAATTACTTCATGACTTGTTTCTTGAAGAGATTTCTTTGACTCTGTTTCAGAAGATGAAACATCCTTAAAACTATCGTCATCAGACTCGGTAACATATTCCATACTACCGTCAGAATCAGCGTCTTTAGAATTTCTGACAATATTGGTCTCACACTCTTTTTGATTTCGGTATTTAGTTCTTATATATAAAATTGATGCTTTTTTAACCTCTTCGAAAGCACCAACATCCTCGTCATCTTCTGTATCAGAGTTTATTGACATGTTACTTATGGAAACTTCACTACAGTTGTCATCTGTTTCTGAAATATATGTGTAATGTGGTGATTATGATGAAGAGCTTGACTTATACACTTCTTTGATATAATATACTGTACCTGCTTGATTAGAATCTTTTAGAGTTGACATATTGTTAAAACGATAGAATTTATTATGAAAATATTGTACAACACTGACGGCACATTTTTCACATTCTTCAACTGATTCACATGTTCCAATTATCACCTCTAATTCATATTTAAAAGCGTTATCTCGCAAGTCTAGGAAACGTAAATTTTTGAGGTTTCCCATACTTGCAGGTAAATCCAACAAATTATTATTATATAGACTAAGTGAAGTTAAATTAATCAAATTGCCGAAATTATGAGGCAAGGAAGTCAGTGCGTTATGGTTTAAGTTTAATTTTTTAATATTGTGAAGGGTTGCAAAATCCTCTCCAAGTCTTGTTAAATAGTTTCTATGTAAATCAAGAATTGTTATTCGTCTGTTACGCTTGATGGCTTCTACTGGAACTCTTGACAACTTCAAACAACTTAAGTTACATAGATTCTCACTTAAATTTTGCTTGACCAACTTGTTGTTAGATTTTTCTGAAGCCATTTTTCTATTAATTTTTTATTAACAATTTTATTATGTGATTATTTATTTATTTTGAAGCAAAAAAAAATATGAGTTAAGATATCTGATATTTTTTTCAATTTTTTTTAAATTTATATAATTTTTACCACTAAAAATTTAAATTGAATAAACTATAACAATCAAATTCGTTTTTTTTTGTTAGATTTGCAACAGATCCACTTTAAAATGAAATATTTTTTAAATTTGATAAAATTGTTGTTGATATTATTTAAAATTATTTCAAACATAGTGTCAAAATTTGAAAAATTAATGAATTATATATCATGGAAATGTCATGAATACTGTACAATAATTTTTGATCCAGTAAAAATCATCTTACAGAAAAAACAAATCATTTACTACAATAAGTACTATATAGAATTAAATGAAATAAGGGATACGATTATAACTTCCCGGGCCCACTTATTTCATAACGGATTTTAGTAGACACCGAACTATAGAATTTAAGATTCTTACATGAGTGTTAAAGGCTCTCTTAAAAGCTTATGACATTGAGTGCTCAAATAAAATTTAATAAAATTAATGGATTAGCTAAGTCTCCTATTTATGATATTGTTAACACTAGAAAAACTAAAATTTGATAATTTCTTGATAAAAGACAAATTTTGCAGGTTTTAAAAAATACAATCGTTTAGTCTTGACAGACTTGACAGAGCTTGGTGGCGTACCTTTTTTCATGGGAGAAAAGTAATCAAGTGCTTTCCCCTTGCTTGCCTGATTCTAATGCGTTGACCACTTACAGCAGTTCAATCGCCTTCAGTGGCAATTTAGTGTGCTCAATCCTTAGAATAACGAACTGTTTTGACCATTTATTCCGGCGACCATTCGGTCTCCTTTCCACGTTAGCCATTAACCAAGCACCACTCTCTAATACGTGGAAGTGTGGATGGGATTTTGCATCATTTAGTTGGATTTGGATGAGTTTTTTGGTAAAAACGAACTAAACATGGTTGTGAAGTGACACAAACTTTCAATACGTTTAAGCATCATAAGATCAAGAATAAACAGGAAATAAACAGAGTTGGCTTCCAGAGACCGGAACACTGCGACTATTGTTGATCTATTGTGTTACTTACCAATCCCAATCACTGCGTTTTTGGAATGAAAAAGAAAATGTCAGTTGTTGCGAACATCCTAATTTTAAACCAGAATAGATATATGCGACATAGCAGTCTGCTTTTGTCTAGATGAAAGCTAAACAGTCACAGAAAATGTTACTAGAAGTCTCATATGCTTATTTGCGTAAGCAACGTTCTACTTCTTCAAACAGACATATTATATTCAGATGATAGCAGGTCATGATGACCCGTCAGATAGCCTGTCAACATCCTTAGTTCCATTCTACTGCGGAGGGGTACAGGATACTATATCATAGTGAAACAAACGTAACGGAGTTCCTAAGAATAAGTTGCATTTATTTTAAAAATGTCTGCCTAAGAATAAGTCGTGTTTATTCTGAAAATTCCTGTCCAAGAATAAGTCGAATAAGTCGCAGAATATTTAATATTTAATTAAATATTCTGCGCATTAAAATTCTTAACAAAAATTTGTTTAAATAAAGAAAATAGAGCATAATAATATAAAATAAAAATATTGTTAGCATTGAAATTAAATTAAATAAAATGCAAACCATTTGCAAAATTAATGAGTCGTTTATACGAAAATTGATTTTCCGCACTTGATTTTAATTGTCTTATGCATTTTGGATACAATTAGGATCCATTGAAGCGCATCAATGATACAAAATGATTCATTATCCATTGCTAAATTAAAAATATCTAAACAAATTTTTATTCAAGCTTCTACTGTTCAGTTCTGAAGCGATAAGTCAGAGGTTAATAACAAAAAAAAGCTCAATTTAAATGCATTTAAGTAGCAGATTTGAAACAGCAATTGCTCATACCAATTATAGAAAAAAAAACTACTACTACAAAAAGATACAATAAAATTTTAACACTAGAACTAAATAATTATATAAGCATTGTTTTTACCCCAAAATTGCAAAAATACAAAAACTTCTGATTAAATTGATTAGAACTCAACCTTGCGGAAATTTCAAACAAAAGAAAAAATATATTTGTGTAGAATATAATAGATATACTATATATATATATGAATATATATTGTATATATGTATATATATGTATAATATGCATTTATAAAATAAAAAATAAATAATAAAACATGGCAGTTCTTTAATTAATTTGGGTGTGTTACACGGCAGCTATTATATTTTATTATCTTTTTTATTTTTTATTTTTTCGTTTGGTATTTTATAGTTTTAGTATTAACATCAATTAAAGACTTAAAACTTTAACATAATTTTTATCATAGATCTCTAACAAGTAAGCAAAGAAAATTATATATTTAACTTTAATTTAACCGCAAAAATATCATACTTTTATTAACTAATAATTCCTAAACGATTTATGAAGATTTTTTAACATTTATCAAAGATATTCTTTAAATTATTATTTTATTATTTTTTTTTTTGGTTTAAGAACACAATAAACCTTCAGCACGAAATCGAAATAAAAAAAATGAACTCGTATTAATTATTACATTAGACGAAAGCTTTCGGAAATTCTCATTTAAAATTCGCGCGCTGTATATTTTCCGATATTTTAAGTTTATGTAGTTTGGCAGCACTGTCCTTAATTACTATGCCAAAAATGAGCGCGATCTGTCAGACAGTTCGTTTACGGCAGCTGTTGAAACCAGTTCACCTCAGTAGGGCGTTGCGAAAAAAACAATGGAAAAAAATATTGAACAAAGAGTTTGCATCAAATTTTGTGTTTCGAACGAAATTTCGTGTGCAGAATCGTTGCGAATGCTACAAAAGGCTTATGGGGAATCAGTTTTATCGAAAACTCAAGTTTATGAGTGGTACAAAGCCTTCCAGGACGGTCGTACGACCGTCGAAGACATTTCGCAACGCACTACTGAGGTGAACTGGTTTCAACAGCTGCCGTAAACGAACTGTCTGACAGATCGAGCTCATTTTTGGCATAGTAATTAAGGACAGTGCTGCCAAACTACATAAACTTAAAATATCGAAAAATATACAGCGCGCGAATTTTAAATGAGAATTTCCGAAAACTTTTCAGTCTTAATGTATTTTTAAGCACGAGATTTTTCGTAAGATTTAATTTTTTTATTTATTTGAGATATTGTCAGGAGTCGCACTCTTCTTAAGTAGTACTTAAGTCAAAAATTAATTTCAAATAATTTTTTTTTTGTTTAGATTAAATTAATTATTTTTTTTATTATGCAATCTAGCTATTTTTTAAAGTTTTGTAATAAATCTCAAATCGTGTCTTCAATCAAACGAGATTACGGAACATTCTTGGCATTAATGAAGGAAATGAAAAAGGCGTCAATTAATTCCAATCATGTCTGATCGAGTCTAAATATTTCGATTGATTCTATTTTTGTTCAACTTTAATGTGCCAAATTTAAAAGAATTATAGACTATACAACAATAGATGAAATTTAAATAAAAAATCATTTATAACGCAATTAAGCTTAATACTGAATATATCCTCATTACCAAATAGAGACAGTTTCTTCTAGATATTTTTATGTTTCAGTAAGATTATATATAATTTTATGTAAAATTTTATTTTATGTTGAAGCTAATTGAGCCAGTGCTATTGAGCACTTTTACTCTTTCTTAATTCGAGGTATTTTCAAAACCCCTCTTTACGCCTTGACTGGATTATTGTTTATCATTTCATCTTCCTTAGCAATAATTCAGCTCAGATCTGCATACCTTTCCGATAAGCCTGTAACCATTCTGAGATTTGATAATGAGGTGTTGGTAAGTCTGTCAGTTTTCGCAAATAATTTCAGGGCTCTATTCTTTGTGTATTTTTTGATGGAATAAATCTTAAGGTCCCTGAGGATGTCATTCGTCCTAATGTACCATGGTACCATGAAAAGTCTTCTCAGAGCCTGGCTTTGTGAGTCTTTGTCAAATTAAGTTTAATTTGATATGAAATTAAACTTAACTTAAAATTTAAATTTTATAACTTTAGGTATATAAATAATACTACTAATATTAACTCTGAATAAAAATTCAGTTCTAGTTAGTTTAACTATAATTTTATTCTTCTTTTAATATTCCAATACATCTAATTAGTTAGATAATAAATTTAATTCTCATCTGATTTTAACATTTAATTTAGTGCACACGTACTAACAAATGTACAAAGGGTTCTCTATAAGAAGAGACCACATATTTGTGCTGATAGTAATAAACTGGCAATCCATCTTTCATTTCAAAAGCAAATATATGTTATATAGAATATTGATATCAATTAGAAATATCAAACCCCAAGCTAAGAAAATGTAAGATAGAAAAAGTATATGTATTCTGTCAAAATATGTAGATTCTTCCATTTCCTCTTTTTCCTTGTACTATCGCGACGGCGAAGTAAATATATACTATAGGAGATATTACTGGGCAGGTCGAGCTTGGCCCGAAGATGTCCTATAGTCCAGTGCCCCGTTAAAATGTATATTAATACTTCTTTACTTGCTTAGATACTTCGGATTTCTTCTGTGTACCAAATCAGAAGCTTTATATTTGGAATAAAATGACCATCTAAATTTTGATCTGGCTGCTGAGGAAGTATTTCTCTTTGCTTGCCACAAAAAATGGTTATAAATTATTCTTCCACTGTAGCTAGATCGTTATAAGAAATTCCATAGAAGAGGTGCCCATTCTAGCTAACGCTCAGTCTCTACTATCTTATCTGAGCGCTCAGTCCCTACTATATTGGTATGCCTGGGAACCCAAACTAGAGTTACCCTGGACCTTGCCCTTAACATAATAATTGTAGACTTTCCTATATTTCTGACGGAATTGTGGATTGCTATTCTATTCTATTGCATAAAGTGGGTGTGCAAAGTGTGTAAAGTGTGTGAAGTTTCATTTATTTCAGAAGTGGGCTCGATCATTTGTTAGACTAGTGAAAACCGAACTAATAA